AGGGGAGAGAGGTCAGGAGCCCTGGTGGCATAGTGCCTGCGGTGGGCTGCTCACTACATGGTTGGCGGTTTGAAGCTACCGGTGACTCTGCGGGAGAAAGAATGGACTTTTTACTCCCATCAAGAGTTAGAATCTCCCAGGCTCCCAGGGGCTGTTCTACCACATCCTATAGGGTCTCGCTATGAGTCAGTATCAACTCATTGGCCACGAGGGAGAGAATGAAGAGTGAAAACAGGCAAACAAACTAGTTAGCCCAGAGTCGATTCTCATTCCAGGCAAGTCTGCGTGTTCCAGGGCAGACATGTGCTCCGCAGGGATTTCAGTGTCTGTGTCCTGTAGAATGCAGATCTCCAGGTCTTTCCGCCAAGGCACCTTTGGGAGGATTCAAACCATACACTTTCAGATTAGTCCTGAGTGCTTAATTGATTGCTCTACCCATTGACTCCTCTGGGATAATTAACCATTCTGGATCACTCAGTCAGTCAATACAGACTCACGGTGACACTGTAGGACAGGGTAGATGTGCCCCTGTGAGTTTCTGAGACTGAAACTGTTTACGGGAGTAGAAAGCCCCGTCTTTTTTCCACAGAGTTGCTGGTAGGTTCAAACTGCTGACCTTGCAGATCACAGGCCAATTTGCAACCACTCTAAGTGCCCATTTATACTCAATTCCATAATATCAACCACTATTCCTTTCGTTCCCATGGAGGGGATACTAACAGGTCAGTAGTTTGAAACCACAGTGACTCCAAGGGAGAAAGATGAGGCTGCTGCTCTTGTAAAAAGTTACAGGCTTGGAAACCCACAGAGGCAGCTCTACTCTCTCCCACAGGCTCCCTATGGCCACTATTCTTAGACATATTCATTTATTCCATTGCTAATAGACCACTCTTCCTCAGCCTCCTTTGCTGGAGTCTTCTGACCAGTCTAGTCTGTAAATGTTACCTTGGGGTAGAACTACTGGATTCCTCCACTCTCCACTGTGTTGTCCATGCTATGCTCCCTGTGGTCTTCTTTCTGAAGACTTGAATACAGCCATGCCTGTTCCTATAAAGGCATAATCCACTGAAATACTTCAAATTTCCATCTCAAACAAGGACAAATCTTCCAGAGTCCCAATGTGTACATTAAACTGCCTACTGCATATGTCTACTTGGGTCTTAGGTCACATCAAAATACGCACATCAAAAATGGATAATCATCTCTTTGGCAAATATTTAGAGTGACTAATCAAAATTTCTTTGACAGTTCCTCTTCTCCCTTTTCTATGAGATAAAAAAGGCTGAAATCGAATTCTCACCATCTCTTGCACATAGTGGGGCCCACCTGACACAATTCTGGACGATGATACCTAGACAGGTGTCTCTAGATGTTGGCTTTCTCTCATAGCCCTTCACAAGGATGGACGCATGATATTTTCACAGATGACATGATGAGGGGAGATTACAATGTGCACATTGCCCATCAGAAACTAGTGCAGGGGAATCGTGTAGTGTTTTTTTCAGACCTGAGTGGCATTTGTGTGAAACTATGATGATGCCTGGGGGTTCAGTAGCCAGATGATAGCTATGAGACAACATACGTGACAAAAAAAGTCAAACTCTAAGAATGGTAGAGAGGGACAATGGAAAGACCCTGGATGTCTGACAGCATCATTGAGCTGATCTCATAATCCTCCCACGACCAATGGCAGTCTCCTTGTTATGTGGAATTAATCAAATGAACATGTGTCAAAGCCAAGGTAGTCCTATTTTCTGTCATGGATGGTACAGGCTTAACTTGAATACCCTGCAACCTTGTTTCTGAATCTCAATAAATGGCATAACAATCAGAAATACATTTGGCTTTCTAGATTTTCCTTTTCCCTCAATCCCCAGGCTTGCCCTTCTCCAACCAGATAAACACATTCAGCTTATCAGTGAGTCTGTGGGCATTTTCCTCCTTGTCAAAGTCTCCTCTGTACTGCTGCTTCTTCCATCTAAATGAAATGCAAATGCTTCTTCCCTATCCAGAATCAGTTTTATGTAAATGCCATCATGTCACTTACCTGCTAAAGCCCTGGATTACATCCCAGGTACATCCATAATAGAATCCAAGTGGTGGACAAAGCTATAAGAAGTCACTGTTCCCCCAGTCCCTTTTTCACCAACCCTCCCTCTCAAAGATCCAGCCGCAATGTTTTTATTTAAGTCCCCAGAGCATGCCTCATATTCCTTTCACATTCTCCTCCCATCCTACTCTTGGGCCATCGTCACCACATTTACACGTGTAGCACCTTTCTTACCCTGAAATCTCAGTTGAAACATGTCCTTAGAGAAGCCTCTGTTGATCACATATTAAAATTAAAATCCTCTATGGCTAGGGGATTTTAACCAAACTCACACCTTAGAATCTAAGAACCTGCTCTCCAAGATCCTTCTACAAATTTCGGAGGCACTGGCAGTGGACAAATGACACCAACCACCCAGAGTTCTGGGTGCCAGACTGACAGTTCTAGCACACCCCTGGCCCAAGAGTGGTAGCTGCTTACTAGACATCTACTACCTCTGAAAGAACCAGGTGTCTCCTTTTTGTCTTTCTGAGTTGCCAGTATGTGTGTAACTAATTCCTTGTATTATATGTTCTTTGTTTTTTAAAAGTGGAATGTTTATTGAATGGCATTGAATGGTATAAATAAAAATGGTAGGTACTTTAAAGGGGAAAAGATGGGATTTTGTTTTTCAGAGCAATCCAGATGCTAAGTTGTGTCTCACAGGTGTAGCACCTCTGACAGGGTGCAATGACATTGTTTCTGGGAATGCTGGAAGAAACTAGGGGGGAAAGAAAGCAAAACACAACCTGAAATGAATAACTCCAACTAATGCTAGAGTCAAGACTATGCCTAGTGTCTTTGAACTGATGTAGACAAACCAAAAACCAAACCAAACTCCCTGACATCAAGTCCATGCCAACTCATAGCGACCCCATGGCACGGGTAGAACTGTGGGTTTCTGAGATTGTAACTCCTTATGGGCACAGAAAGCCTCATTTTCCCTTCAGAGTGGCTCATGGTTTTGAACATCTGATGCTGTGGCTAGCAGCTCAATGCATAACCATTACACTAACAGGGCTTATTTGATGTGTATAACAAGAGGGAAAATTTCCCCACAGCCTTCCAGTTGCTGTTAGCTCAACTTTGAGTCATGGAAATTCCATATGTGTCCCAAGTGGAGCAGCGCTTCTTAAGATTTCCAAGAGCTGATTGTTCTGAAGTAGATTACCAGGTCTTTATTCGAAGGTATCTCCGAGTGGATACGAACCTCCAACTTTTAGGTTAGCAGTTGCACATGTTAACCAGCTTCCGTCGCATGGCACAGATGATTAATCTGCTCAGATGCTAAACCAATGGTTAACGGTTTGAGTCCACCCATGTGCATTTGGAAAATAAAGGCTGGCCATCTACTTAAAAATAAATGAATAAAAACAAATCAGCCGTTGAAAACTCCATGGAAGATAGTGCAGCTCTTATACACAAGAGGTCACTAAGAGTCTGATTGGCTCAATGGCAACTGGTAAACTGTCTTCTAGTGCCTAGCACATTAGCTGCTAACCATAACGTCATCTGTTCAAAACCCCAGATGCTTTGCAGGAGAAATAGAAGGCTTTCTACTCCTGTAAAGATTGACAATCTCAGAAGCCCAGAGGAGCAGGTCTACACTGTTCTCCAGGATCAGGATGAGTCAGAAGTAACTTGATGGCAGTGAGCTGTTTGGGGTTTTGAATCTGAAGTTGCCTGGCAAGGAGACGATGTACTTTGGCCTGTTCCGGCCTGAGCAATTCACAGTAGCACACAGAAGTGTGGGCTTAGAGATGAGCTATCACAGCTTAATAACTGGGCTGGCATTTAGTGATTGCTTCTTTTATTTTATAGGTTTTCTTCCCTGTTAGATAGTACATGCTCAGGATTCAGGTCACTCTTTTTATTACTGTCCCCCTCTACCTAAACTGGCCATGTGCACAGGATGGTCACAGGCAGATGGACAGATGAGTAATGAAGGAATTTATTAGATTTTTCTCAAAACTACTTAGTAAAATGTACAATTGAACTTCTGCCAATTAAACAAGTATTGAGTGCCTATATGATGCATTATACATTGGGGATACACATATAAATGTGAGGCAGTTCCTTGTCATTTATCTGGGGATATAAAGCATTCTTACATGACATTTAATAATATAACATCACAGCAAATAATGATATGTTGAAATGCTCAAGCAATTTAACAGGTTGGGCAAAAGGTAGTTAGAAAAGAAAAAGTATGTACAAGAAATATGTGGGTTTGAAATGATCCACAAGACTTATTGATGTTATGATCTGAGGCAGGCTTGAGAGGAGCTTACAAGCACAGCTGTATAGCTGAGAGGAGTTTAGCTGGTGTTTAGATGATTCTTATAAAACCAGAGAAATGAGTATTTTCTATAAAGCAGCCAATGGAAAACTAAATTGGATCTAATGTGAAAAACCATGAATTCTGGAGTTAGACTTACGACTTGTATGCTGTTTTGCAAAGAGAAGACATTAAGAGCTGTTAAGCAAAGAAGTCATGTGGTCAGTGGTCAGAAGTAATCTGGCAGCATCATGAGTAGTTGATTGAATAAGGAGAAACTAGAATCAGAAAGGCCGTCTTAGAGGATATAACAAATAATCCAGAGCCAGAAAAGACAGTAGGTGTATAAAGGGAGGAAGGAGATGAAATCAGGCACTGGGATACTGGGAAAGAGGATTATTTGGAAAGAAGAATCGCTGTAACATAAATACAGATTCAACCCAGAGGCAAAGATGGTAGAAAGGATATCTAGAAATAATCTACCTGATGCACATAGAAAAAATTCAAAGCACTTGGGCTAGACAAGGCACCATAGAGCTTCATCGCAAGAACTCCCTTCATAATGATGTATGTACAAGAAAAGCCACAGTCAATATTTATCTTCCCACAGCTAAACTCACTATTTTAAAAAAGTTAGTATGCATCTGGAAGAATATATATATCTTCATCTTGAGGGGTGTCAGATGTACTAGGCTGCTGGAAGTTAAAATACTTAGGTGACAGCTCATTGCCATAGATATGCTCCTCGAAATTGGACTGCCGTGTATTTTCATATATTTCCTTACTGGCTTCTTCTTTAGCATTGACAGGACATGCTTCCACATTTTCATAGTTGCCATGAATGTTAGCTACCTCTGTCGTAGACTTGTGATCTTGGGTTTGAACTGAGGTCTTAGGCTGTGGGAGAATCTCTTGGGGACTCAAGAAGAATTTCTTAGCATAGAGATTTTTCTTGCTTCTTCTTCTTTGCAAAACTTTTGGCAGGACAAATCGGTTTCTGTTGGGGTGCCTCCACTGCCAGACACACCCAATTACACAGAACATCAAGAGTAACAAGAGGAAAATTCCCAAAGGAAAGGCCATGGAGATATGCCCGCTGCTTTTCAGTATTTCTTCACAGACAGAACTCTTGAGTGGCAGGTGCGGTCCACTCTCAGTATTTCTTTGTCCAGAGGGAATTGTGGAGACTCTTCAAGGCAATTCCCTTTCAGACCTTAAAGAACATTGCCTGGTGAAATCTTGATGCAACTATAGAATAGATGGGAAACATTTCATTTTGGAAGATGATTTTTTTTTGCACCTGATGCTTTGTACATCCCAATCATTAATGCACGACTGCACAGCATCATGGAGGATCTTTTCATTCCATTCTATGTCTCATTGTTTTCTCAATGAGTCCTCACAGGACACAAAAATAAATGGAAGATATTAGCAAAATAGGAACTTCAAGAGGAGAGTTGACCACCTGCCATCCAGAAACCTGTCATAAATTAAAAAATTATTATTTGCATATTTATTGCACAGTATAATTTTAAATATTGCCAATTTTTTTTAACCAATGAATTAAGCACCAGAATTTATTGAGTTTCTGCTTTGATAGAGAATATAGAACCAGCGGTTGTGAGGAGATAAAAATAATTAGAATCTGTCCCTACCCACGACTGAGTGGCTGTATTACTTAGATTTCAATGTTTTTGACAATGAGGCTAACAACCTTCAAGTGAAAGATAATGCTCTGAATCAAATGGGAGGGAATGGAGAAGAATATACCGTGTGATTGCTTCCATGGCCCATTACCTCCTCTGTGAGGCTGTCTCTGTTTATCCAGCTGTAGAGTGGGCAGGACCATGTAGCCCCCTTTACCACTCCTTATTCTCTACTCCCATGTTATTGACCACGTTTTATACTATAGCATCATCATCTCATACTATAGAGAAGTATGTTTCTTCCTACTTGATCAAATTATGGGCAGAAACCAAATTTTTTCAGCTTCATATTTCTAGAAAGCGTTATAAGTCTTCTCAAAGAAAAGACAATACTATGGAATAAATAACTAAATAAACAAAACGAACAAATGACTCCAAACTTCAATATTCTATTTCTTGAGTTGATCATTTAAAATTTCAAGGTATGTCTTCTAAAATATTTAGCTTGCATTATGAAAAGTTCCCTTTGTAGTAAAATAAAATAGCATTGGCAGCCTTCATACCACCCATCTTCTCATATTTTCTAGAAATAACTTTTATTCCGTCAAGATTTTCAATGTGTTTTCCATCAATGGCTTAAAATGGCAAAAAAGAGAAAAATGGTAGTTCATTTAGGCTGAACGTTCAACTTATGAACATTGCTACTGTATGCTTTCAGCCTAGACATAGAAATGGTCACATTCAGTTGTCACATTGAACCCACTATTCCAACTCATAGTGATATTATAGGGCATAGTAGATTTAGCTCCATAGGATTGCCAAGACTAAATCTTTACAGAATCAGGCTGCCACATCTTTCTTCTATGCAGTGGCTGATGAGTTAGAAGCTCTGACCTGTTAGTAACTGACCATTGTAACCACTGCCCTACCAGGGCTTCTTCAATATTGTAATGGTACTTGAGGATTAAGAGGTTCTCTAACTCCCTAACAACCTAGAAGTGGCTCAACCGGGATTCAAGAGACATTTTCTCAACACATTATTCTCGCCTCAGTATGTGAAAATGGCGATCGTGTGCACGCATCACTGACGCCATATTGCTTAGCTATCTCTGTGGTTCTTGTGGGCTTTGCATTAGGTCTTATTTATCTTGGTATTACCAGCACGAGGAGGAGGCATAGATTAGTTTATTATTAAATGTTGTTGAGTATGTAAGGAAATCTGTTTACAGGATAACAATAGTGAATATAAACAAGGAAGCGGGGGTGGGGGGGCTCCATAAAGTTGTTCTTTGCCCGCAGGAAGGACTACTGAAAGACAGCGAATGTTTCTAAATAATTAGAATTATTAACATAGTTCAATGTTCACATTTTCAATTTGTCACTTTCTTGTGAGATATCCAATTGAATATCATATGTAGTTGATTGTTTGAATATCCTTGTTTAAAATATAATATAGAAAACATTTCAAATAAAAAAGAAAACCCAGACCTAGACATGGTAATCTCTTTGGCTGTATTAGGGAGTGATGTTGGGGTTGAAAACTCTGGTCCACCATATTAAGATTTTATATTCTGTAGGATTGCTCTTTTATAAATACAGATACAATCTTAAGTGGAAGAGTAAAAGTCTGACAAAGACTTAGTCATTTGAATCTCATGTCCTTTGTGAAACGGATGAGTACTGATCATGTGTAAAATATTTTACAGTGTAAATGATTACTTACTCAAGTAATTATTGGTCAGCATATTTGAAATGTGTTTTAAAAATGCTACCTGAAAGGTGTTCTTGATTTTCAACATAATTTAATTTTACCACATATGTTGTTCTATGGCAGCAAGACTGGGTTTTCTATTTCTGTTAAGAGTTAGTTTCAGAAACCCACAGGGGCAGTTCTGCCCAGTCCTTTCAGGTCACTCTGAGTTTCCATCCACTGGATGACAGTGAGTTTGAGTTTTGAGCTTTTGTTCTACCTAACATAGACATCTCAGGATACTCCGATTATGAAAGTAGTTTATTTCTAAGTTGTGTTCATGAGCTAGATGAGAAGATTGCTTAAAGAAAAAGAAAGACATCGTTTTCTTTGTGTGAAAACAATATTATAGGACAAATAGTGATGTACTACAATTAAAAACAAATCAAAGCTAATTTTAAGTGAGAAACATTTAGATAAAGTTTAACCTTTAAATAAGTTTGCCCAATTTTAAAGAAGACTCTCTTTGTTCTTATTTTGCAAAGCAGTTCAACAGGGTATCTAACAACTATTTCTTGGTCATGAAATCACAAACCATCAGGAAGCATCCACACCTCTTCTCTTAGGAAAGAAGGCAGCAGTAAAGCATACGTTCTTACGGGTGAGCACTTTTTTTTTTTTAAATTAACATCACTTCCAAACAGTTTACACATTATTGTCTTCTACGACTACTTAAATTATCCTTTTTCTGAAACTTGAATAGAAGATAGATAAAGTCATTAAATAAAAGTGAGCTTATTTCTTATGGTTTCTCACTACTCATGCCCCTGAAACTACGTTTTTCACTTACCTCCCGAGGAGAGCGGCACACTTTTGTTCTCCGGGTTATGGACGCAGACTGCTTTGGCTTAGTACTTGTTCCTCTTTTACGCTTGGGTCAGTTAACTTCCTTATTTACATCCTCCTTTCAGATATTTCATACGTGCTAGGTTTCCTGGCCCTACAGGAAGCTCTATCAGATGCACCAGAATTAAGATAAAGGGCATGAGTTTACTATGCTGGGAATGACACAATCAAGGGGCAGGGCTTTGCGTTCGGAGCCAAAAAGA